ACACGACACAAATATTTTTATACCTAGCAGACCGAAATAAAGAGGAGGAATAAAAGGAGGGCCTGCATTTATGGAGAACACATTATACATGTGTGTGTTAATACTGAGCAATATTCCCTAAAAGGGCAGCTCCCTATGTAGGGAGGTCCAAACAAAATTATTCAAATTGCACCATCTGCTTCGAACGTGTCCTTCTATACATTTCCGTGTTGTCTTGAAGCATTTTACTTGCTTTGCATAGAAGGAATTTTGGGGTAGGGATTGTGCCAATCGCTTTATTGCATATTGAACTGCATAATTATTTCTTCGAGGGGGAGGGGAGGCAAAACACAAAATAAACCCCCTTTTTTTCCCTATTTTGGCAAATTACCCAAATGCCAAACGATGGCGGCGTTATAAAAATAACACGGCTAAGGAATTCTGGAACGAGAAGATGTTCTGCTCAGTAACTTCCTCCGTGACAGGAAACTAAATTCCTGCTTGAGTAAATGGTGGCACACAAGAGTTTCTGGTGAATTGAGGCGGAGCTGGGCTACAATCAGCTATTTACACGGAGGTAACAAATGCAGGGGCTACAGAAAAGCAGAAGTTGTGTTTGACTCCCAGAGCTGCTTCATCTTACAAAAAAAACATGTTTAATTCTCCCAAGTAAACATGGCACTGAAATGTGATCACGCGTTCTGCTCTTAAACCGATCTTTTCTGTTCAACGGAAGGTAAAAAAGTATCACCCACTCATAAGAAGGATCATTTTGCCTGCAAAATCATGTATGTGTTCTTCACCGAGGATCCATTCGTTCTCCGTACACACATTACACGTTGAAATAATCGATGGGTTTATTTGACTTGTATTCAAAAGTCATGCAAGCAACGGCCAAGGTCATCCTAAAGAACAGCTCCTGATACTACTCCATGTGGCTGGACAATTAGAAAGCCTGGCAGAAATTTTAAAAAATAAAAATAAACTGCAAATGCAGGATGTTTCTCTCCCCCGCATCTAAATGTACAAGGAGGAAACATGACAGAGTGCTAATTCCAAGATTTTGCTTTTATTTTCCTGAAGGTGGAAGAAGAGGCCTTGCACTTAAAATGGATTTCAGCTAAAGTCTGCTTAAGATTTATATCTCCCTCCTTTCAAAAAGCTATTTGAACTACGTCCTGTAGTTAAAAGCTCTCGCCCAGATGGTTACAGGGCAAAGAAACAAGGATCTTTGAGTTCAAACTGAGTGGACATTTCAGAGAAAAATAAATAATCAACAGTAAAATTAGCTTTTTCACTAGTGAAAGTGATCGGAAGGAAGGAAGGAAGGAAGGAAGGAGGGGGGAGAAGCATTATCTAATAAACAGCAACAGACCTGTTGTTAGAAATAGGGAAATGCCACCCTGGAGATACAAACAAAGAACCAACACTGGGAATATTAGAAAGCTGTTGGAGGTGTGCTTGTTAGCAGGAAAATATTGACCAAGGAAGATAAGACGAAGGGGTGTTTGGCTTGAAGGGTTTAAAAAAAAATCACTTTTTCAACTCCCTCTATCAACAAATGGAAACGAACCCGGGGAAATATTTACCCTTCCCCTTAAGGGACAGATAAACATCCTTCTTGGGATAGGACAGAAAAGGCCGTGCTATTTTTTGCATTTATCGATATGCGGGTAGTTCTTGACCTACGGCCACAATGGGGTCAGAATATCCGCTGCTGGCCGTTTGTTCGGTCAGCCGAGCCTGGTTTTACAACCTTTCTCGTGAAGCCAATCGCCTCAGCTGTTAAGTGAATCATGGCATTGGTAAGCAAATTCGGCTTTTCCACTTGATTTTGGTTGTCGGAAGCCGGCTGGGAAGGTCACAGATAGCGACGGATGCTGCGACTGTTGTAAATACATGCTGGTTGCCATAAGCAGCCACATTTTGATCTGGTGAGGGTGCTGGGATGGTCATAGGTAGAAAGGCCAGTCTTAACTCATCTTTTTTTTCCCCGGTGCTTCTATAATTTTGATTGTTAAACAAATGGTTGTTAGGCTGGGTGACACCTGGAGGCAGGTATGTTTCCATAAAATAAGATTTGGGAAGAGTTTAAATGAAACACCTGCTCTCAGATGTCTCTTTTACATGGAAATGGGTTGACTTCATATATCTCGCCCAAAACACACCTGAAACAGCCCTTCCTTAAGAAAAGCAGATGTGGTCAGCCCTACCCAAAGCTTCAAACAGAGAATTTACCGAAAGGAGCCGATTAAAGATGCCCTTTTAACTTCCTTGTTGTTTTTTTCTTTGAAGACGTTTTGCTTCTCATCCAAGAAGCTTCTTCAGCTCTGACTGGATGGCGGGGAAGGGAAGGATTCGTACTCCTTGCAGGCATCCTTTTTAGAGAGGCGTTGAGGCCACTTGGAGGTTTATCTGTGTCCTCAGGGTCACCTGAGTGGTGGAAATGATTCCTGTAGTCTGCAGTCTTTTAGACTTTTGGTTATGCGATTTGGGATGGACGCTCTTCGAACGGCGTGGGACTGTGAACGGATTTCCAGAAAAAAAATTGCAGACTACAGGAACCATTTCCACCACCTGGTGACCCCCAAGGACACAGATAAACCTCCAAGTGGCCTCAATGACACTCTAAAAAGGATGCAAATGACCAGCTGTCTGCAAGGAATGTAAATCCTTCCGTTCCCCACCATCTGGTCAGAGCTGAAGAAGCTTTTTGGATGAAAAGTAAAACGCCTTCTTCGAAAGAATAACCAGAAGGCCCAGTTGCCTCCTGAAAAAAGCACCTCTGGAACAACCATGACCTGGATGACGGAAAATCTCTACAAACTTCCACCTGTCTTTTAAGAATGTATACCAGTTAGAACAGGCACCGTTCTACCAAACCAGATTTCTGATTTTTGCACAAAAGGCAAAAAGAACCCTCGAACGAACAAGCAAACCAACCGAACTGGGTAAGTAAGCTCGCCAGCTGCCAATGTTGGTCGGAAGTTGGTTTAAGCACGAGAGGAACGTCTCAGTAATATGTTGGCCCTTTCAATTTGAGGAAGTGCTCATCACCGGAACCACATGGATGAATACACAATAACTTTTGCACTCAGGGGGTATATAGTTAACTTCAGCGTATTATCCGAGATGTAAATGAACCCCAAATCTGAACATCCTGCAACTCAGACCGTGTCGTGGGAAGGAGGGAAGATTGTGGTGGGGACACAATGTTCTTCTTGAGAGACACACACACACACCCGTGGGCCTCGCGATAAGCATGGGGAGGCTGCCGACTCGATGCCAGACTGAAGCTAGTCCTCCGCTTGCAGCTGCAATTAAGATCCAAACTTCTATCACTAAGCGAGTTTTGCCCAATTTGGCCACCTTTTTTTGGCCAGTTAAGTGTATTTTGGCCGTTAACCGTGACGACTGTCAATATGTCACTTTTCTCAGTGCTGTTGTAACTTTGGATCCTAGGACAAACGGTTGTAAGTTGAGGACTTTCTGGCTCCAATGAATTCGCAAGCCAGCATCCTGCCAATAACCACAGAACAGCCAATGATGGTCCACACAACCACATCAATGGAAGAACCACAACCCTTCTCAAGCCAGAAGACATGGGGGGGAAAAAAGAGTCCACCGTTTCCCACATATGCAGGGGCCCTTTTTACACACACACACACACACACACACACACACACACACACACACACAAGAAGATGCCACCTTCATTGCTTTTTCTCATTTTAGGTTGCTCTTAGAAGAGCTCGGACCTGAAGCTGTGTCCAGACGGAGCAAAACACCCACCTCTCCATCATCAATACCTGTTTTAAATCTTGCTACCCTCCTGTTCTCCCCCCTCCCCAAATCTATGGGATGTCTACTTCAAAGCAGAGGGGAGGGGGAGGTAATCAACTGGACAACTCCCCCGTCCGACCCCTTTACTTTAAAGCAGGGGTCCTCAAACTTGGCAACTTTAAGACTTGTGGACTTCAACTCCCAGAATTCTCCAGCCAGCTACACTCACCTGGGAGAAGCTACGCTGGCTGGAGAATTCTGGGAGTTGAAGTCCACAAGTCTTAATGTTGCCAAGTTTGGAGACCTCTGACTTAAAGGAAGATGGGGGTCGCCAAGGAAAGATTGACCAACCCTAGAGCTATGAAGAGGGGGGGGGGTTTGTTCTATAAATCCTAT